TTGGAGAAACTGTCCAAATACAGGTGTGGAAAACTTGTAGAAACATGGTGCAGTTACATCTTTGTAACAAACACAGATGTAACTGCTGTCAAATGAGCTTCTACAAAGTACTAAATTAAGGGTCGGCATACTTTTGCATCCTGCATACAGACTTCAGTTTTTTGTTTTTTAATAAACATTTACAAAAAACCAACCTTTATCTATTTAAAATCAAATCTACAACATAATCTGTGCAAAAAGTGAAGTGGTCTGAATATTTTGTGGATTCAATAATTTTCTGATATACTGATTTAAATATTACAGCTGTGTAACTCCAACTCCCTGACCTTGTAACTCCCTCTCTCTCTATTTTTGGGGTGCTGAGCGTACCTGTGTATTGATATTCAGATTATCGATCCTCAGTATTCAGTGTTGAACTCTGTGAACTTGCTCTGTGGAATTATTGGTTCTCGTTGCTAATAATATTCAGAATATTCAGTTTATACTGTACAATTACAGTTTGTGGCTGTGACATTCCTCGGTTACCTTTCAGCTGTGTGCAATGTTTCTGTGCTAGCATAGCAAGCTACCAGATAATGCTTTGTTGTTGATGTGCTCGCTAATCATTTTGTTTCGATCCAATTAAAACAACTAAACACCTGCAAGAAAAATGACAAAAATCAGTGGTGGGTTTTAGTTATTAGATGTTTGATGCTTTGCACAGTATGTCACATGTATTCCTACGTGCAAAAATTATTCTAAATCAACTGTCTTGCACCTTAAGGCATACTTAAAAATAAAGCCAAAACTGATTCAAAGTATAAATTCAGTTGGTTGAACAATGAACGCAGCTGAGCAGGAGCAGTGGTGACAAATAGTGCAGAGTAAGGCAGTTGTTCTGTCTGCTGGAGGTGAAATGGGGAGAGGCTGACCTCATAGCCCTTCAGCGATGGTCCCACGAGGACCACCGGCCTCATAGAGGGCACCACGTCGTAGGGAGGGACATGTTCCTGCCAGGAATAGGGGAGGACGATAGGAAAGGGATGAGGAACAGAGAGAATAGGGGTAAGAAATGATGAGGGTTGGGCTTGTTTGTTGTAAAAAAAGAAAAAAATAGAAGACACAATCAATGACTTTTTAAAAAAGATTTTTTTTTTTATAGTGGTTACAGTCAAAGCATCACAGATAAAACAGCAAAGACAACAAGGCTTAAATTTATTGAAACTTTGTCACATTTTATTCAGGACTTTCCAGCTGTATGTGACAATAATTCCTAGTAAAATAGTATATCTGTTAACTTGACCTAAAGCTGAGTAAGTGAAAAATAAAGAAATCAAAATTACGTTAAAATTGTCACTTGCCCCTAAAAGTTGATGAGCTCCCCAGCTACTATAGCCAGCTGTAATAACATTAATAATACAAAATAGCTCCATAAAAGTTACTACACAACCTTATAAATGCACAAATTACTGTCACACTCATCCCATTTCTCGTTTATGACAGATTTTAGATATTTTTAAAATCTTCAAATGCACTGAAGATATCACTTAAAGTTAAAATTCAAAAATAAAATATTGTGAGCAAATTCTGTATGATCATAAATCGCCAAAACCTACCTGTTTTTGCTTCTGTTTAGCTTGTGAAAACAAGAAAAATAACAGTTAATGAAGGAACATGACAGAAGGCAGCAAAAGCTGTTTCTGTTGCAGTCCCAGAGGCAGATTTGTTGTACTTACATTCACCGGCAGATGGCGGTGTGGTCCTCCAGCTCCCACTCACCATGTCGCCTAAACTCGAGGAGTTACCTCCTGTTTTCCTGCAACAACAAGAGCACACCAAGTTAGCTAACTTATACTATGTATATGAATCCTCTGAGAAGCTTGATACCTGTGTGGTTAAAAATGTGAACTGACCTCTGTTTCTGCTCCTGCTTGAGTCTCATCGCCTCCAGTCGTAGGGGGCTGGGGATGAAGGTGATGTCTGCCCCCTCCTTCACTAGCCGGCCGATCCACCAGTCATTATTGTACTTCTGTTAAATTCACAACAACAACGTCACTGTCTAAACATGTGTCTGTCTTGGAAGGCGTTTCATCCTCATTTACAACCGATAATCACTTACTTCTTTGATGTGCAGGAAGTCTTTGGCATCGAAATTGACTGCAGCTCCTTGGACAGGACAGTCCTCATCGAGAGCTCCACAGTAACTCACGTTTGTCTTTACTGCAAACGCTACGGGTTTGGACTGTGGCAGCGATAAATAAACACAACAACAACATGTGTCAGTGATGAACACTGCAGTATAAACATATAAGACCAACACCAGAGGTTTGGACTCAAGTTATGAATCTGATGACTACAGACTTTAACACCTGTCACTAACTTCTGATTGCACCTTTGCCTGTTAACTTTCTCACCAAGCCCAAAGATTAAAATTTACAATACACAAAAGAATACAGTAATGCTGTGACTTGACATTAATTCTTGACAAACATGTGGTTCACACAAAGAGGTAGAGGTTAGTGTTGATGTTCTTTGGTTGAAGCTCATGGCATCTAGGAACAAAAGTTAACTTTGTAACCAGGAAATCAATGAGCCCTTCATAAAACCAGTATGTCTTTGCAATTTTGCATCCAAGATTTGGTAGTCCAAATGTGAATATTATCTTTGATGGCTCTGAACCCCAAGCACTTTCTGGGCATTTCTTGCTTTCTTCTTACTGATTGCAGGGCTAATTTTTCACTGTAATAAAAAAATCATGCATCCATACAGAAACGGTAAATAGTAAATAAATAAATAGAAAAAAAACCCCCAACAACTTATGTTTATTGGATTATTCATTTACCTATGACTGAAAAAAACATGGAATCAACTTGCACATTATTCCAAGCGCTCACTAGTGATACCAAGACCGGACAAAATTGGTGGCTCTCCCTACTACAGATATTTATATACTTCTGTTATGTACAAACAAAGCCTGCAGTTCAGCTCGAAAGTCCTTGAATTTTTGCCTTGTGACTGTTAGTCACAGCTTAGTCAGTCGTGGTTCTTGGTCAGGCTGAGGTGTGCACATTCTTTTTGTTATTTACTGAATCTGGTTAGGGCAAATAGTTTATTTTTGGCCTATTTTTAAATGAGACAAGTAGAATAAAGTGATTTTGATGCTATGGTTTTGGGCTTAACTTGTTTAAGTGCTCTGACCAAACAGCATATCACAGAGGAATAAAACAAGAAACATCTGAAAGTTAAAAATCTGACAACTCTTTCTGTTTTCACAGTTTCTGGCTCTGATAAATGGTGCAATTTTGGAGATTTTTCTTTTTTAATGATAACAAGCCTCTGGGGTTCAGAGGGTTAACGATGAATATTAAGGGGAGAGAATTAGTTGTTATTTTTTGCTTGTTTGTTTGTTTGTTTTTTGCTTTTGCTCACTTTTTTTTGAAGATCTTATAGCATATGTGTTTCAAAAAAATTCTGGTGGATCATTTTTTAAAAATAATTTATATTCTTTGCAGCACCCTGCACAGAGTGACAGCATGAAGCAGATTCCATTTACAGTGACATTGGAAGCAGAGATGTTTGGGTTAATTGTATTCTGCTGTGCCCCCCCTCTAACAGACAGAAGGTTACCTGTGTAAATTTGACTTATTCAGCTGAAAAGCACCAGTATGACATTGGTCCTGACATTGGCTTGGGAGAAAAAAAAAAAAAAAAACAGGAACACAGTGCCTCTTCCCAACTTCCACAGTCCAACGGTGTTGTGTGAAAGAATGCTAAGTTGCTGTATTCAACCTAGCAGGAGTTACCTGCTAGTTTGTCATTTGAATAACCAATTTATTGCAGCATATTCAGAAGAGACCCGTGTTTGTGTAAGCATGGGATTTTGACCAGTAAGCATAGTACATTGTTCATGTACAGATCACTCAGTCTAGCAATTCCTGCTCAATGAGAACCTCAGAGTGACATTGAAAGACAATGATGTACAGGTGATTTGCTAAAGCATCTCAATGAAAGGCAGTGGTGTGTTTCCATTTCTGTTTTTTTCCTAAATCTAAAGTTTCCTGCTGAAACAGCTGATTGCTGATAGCACAGAACAGAAAAGAGGTCTGAAATGTGTTAAAGCACAATTTGAATTTGTTGAAGTGTTTTAGATTAGAATCTTGACTTGAACTGTAAATAATGTTTATATTTCTTCATTAAAAAAACCCACAAAAACAGGGATATGCCTGCTTCTGCTCACAATCAGTCCATCAGCATGAAAGATTGTATGGAGAAGTAGAGTCAGACAAGTGCAGAGTTTTTGCTGCACAGAGGAATTTTGTTGACGCTACCAAACAGTTTCTAACCAGAGCCAAAATAATAAAACGTGAGAAAAAAACACATATTTTTCATACAGAACGACCAATTATCGACCTGACCAGTTATCAGGGCTGATATTCGGCATTTCCTTAATTACAGGTATTGTTATTGTTAAAGTAGTGTTATTTTTAATAGTGTTAATCAATGTCCCGTCCATAGCACTATCTAATTAGCTATTTGTTAAAGGTAACCAATGACCGCTCAAAGCTACTGTTTACAGACAGGGACAGAAGTGTGCGTTTGCATAGCAGAGCTGTGTTTTGAAGGTTAGGTAGCAGAGTTGCTGAAACTGTAATAAACACCGCTATCTTGATCAAGCAGGCCCAGTTTATTGGTCTTTCTTGACAACAACGAATTGGTATTGGCCCCAGAAACCAGTTAGCCAGTTTTGCTAACGGGGGTTCTGACTGCTTAAGTTTGATAGCACTTTTATTTAGAAAATGGCAATAAATATGAGGAAAATGCATAAAATTCTGACAAATAAAATAACACAGACTTATGACCATTATTGTACGAGAACCTATCATGTCGACTGTCATGTGTAGTCACCATCCACAGGCCAGGAAAAACTTTGATGTAATACACACTTTAGCTTAGAAAACATTCAAAACATTATACCACGTAGCTGTATGAATCGTAGTTTGTGTACCTTAGCTCTGTCGAGCTGCTGTTGTGCCTGGCGCTCGGCTTCACGCCGATACGCCTCGCGGTCCTCCTCTGCTGACAGGTCTGAATCCGACGGTCTACTGGTGTACGAATCAGCCGACCCCTGTCAGGCGAGAGTGGGATTAATATTTGCGATACAGTAATTCATAATTTGATTACTCACATGAAGATCATCTAATCGTGCTAAGATTACTTAAGCATATCACTGGGAGGTTAGAAACATAGCTCTGCTCTTTCTGTTTATGTCAGCTTTCATCTATTTTTCTGTTCTGCAGTCTGTTTGTGTGCAGGTGTGCATGAAAATATGTGTCTGTATTTATGAACACATTCATGTGGTGAGCCTGTGTGTATCTACAACACAATGCGTTGCTCTCCCACACCAGCCATCTTCTGATAGACCAAATATAGCACAAAGGAGGCAACTGCTTGCTCTTCTCTCCTGCTTGGCCCCAATCCATTCCATCATCCCCCACAGTGCAGCACATATACATCCTTTATTCCCCTGTTTATTCTCCAAGGACATCTCCTCATTAGCAAAATATATGCTGGTTATCATTTTTCATTGTAAGCGCTTTAAGGACACCTCCCAGGGATGGCTCACACATTATGCTGGAAGCGACAAATAAAGCAAACAAGGAGACATTTTACACAAAGTAAAATGGTGAAAATCACTCCATAGGTGCTTTTTATTTAGAATCTGTAACCTGTAATTATTTTCTTAAGTGTCTGTATTACATACTGTAAAGCTGAAGAGATGAATCAATTAATCAATTAGCTGCTCAGCAGAAAATGAACAGTTCTTGTAACCATTTAAATCTTTTTTCAAGGAAGGAAAAATACACTGGTTCTGATATCTCAAATGTGAAGTTACTTTTCTTTGTTTCATTTGAGAGTACAATTAATATCTCTGAGTTTTGAATTGGTAGTGGGAAAAAAGACATTTCAAAATAACACCATGGTTCAATCAATAATGAAATATAATGTACTGTTTGTAAAAAATAATTACATTGCCATGCGACATTCAAACAAAAGGAAACCACGTTGCTGATTTCCAAAAAAAAAAAAAAAAAAAACAAAAAAGAGAAAAAAACAAAAAGGTGCTCGAGACAAAGTGGGGACACTGTGTGTGTGTCTCTCTCTGTGTCTGTCTCAATCAGTGCGTGTGTGTGTGTGTGTGTGTGTGAGTTCTCCTATATTTGGTGCCCACTTGGCTTCTCAGAAGGAACTCAGTCCTGAATATGTCAGTGAAGAGAACTACTGCAGCAAAAACAAGTCAGATGAGACAAATGAGAAAAGAAAAGAAGAGTAACGTAACCAAAGAAAATGACGTGTGATAGACAAGTCAGACAGAAACATGCTCATAAACAAACTCTCAAACCACAACAGCAGAAGCTACACTGAAACAATCAGCCATATTTCTGTAAATAAAGCCAAACGTTAAGAAACTAAAAAAAAAAAAGAAAAAAAAGAAACAGCATATAATACAGTTTTCACTTTGGTGTTCCTCTCCTCCAGAGTGCAGCGACTTAGTCCTGGTCATCCATCTTGCCAACATATACAAACGGATCCTCTGGAGGACCAATTAGCAACAGCACAACAAAAGGAAGTACAGGCGCAAAATACACAAAAAAAAAAGTGCCCAGACTTGAAGAACAACCACCACCTTTGCTTTCTCTGCACTTCAGAATGCATTCATACAATCCAAAATAAATTATTATCTACAGCACCACTGCCAGCGAACACCTCTCCTCGTTTCTTTTTTTGGTGTGGTGTCTGTGTTAGATAACTAGATCTGATTTCTAGCACTCACAAGCTCTGCAAGGCAACACTGCACCAGTGCCAGAGCAGCACCGACGGAGAAAAGGAGGGTGAGGAAGAACGGGTAGAAACAGATAGAAAGGGAGAGAGAAAAGGAGGAGGGGGGGGAATATTGTTGACAAGATATACCGAAAGGAGAAGGGTGTTTATGAGTGACTGACGGACGGTTGGTGAGACGAGAGGTTTATACGACGATAAAGCGAGCCTGTCTCAAAGGGAAGATGAGATTAGAGCAGAATAAAATGCTATGAAGGACTGGAGCGAGACCTAGATATCTATGCTTACCGCAGATAGAAGAAAAGATGGGAAACACAGCAGGGGGGGGAGGAGGAGGAGGGGAAAAAGACCATGACCACATGAGACAGAGACACACAGATAGCAGAGAGAGTTGCATACCTGGCTGATTAGGAGGACGGCGCTAGAGCCTGATAAAGACATGAATCTGAATTTTCTCACACTACCAGCCTCCCTGTCTTCACTGGGAATGCTCAGAAACACACACGGACATAAAAGCGGAATAAATATGATGGTGGGCGCAGAGGAACGGCGTTATGTCAGAGTGCTGTTTAATGATGTTAGAACGCCGAGTGACTGCTATTCATTCTTAATGTGCGGAGATGACACGGCGGACCTTCTCCACAGTGCACGCTCTCTGACCTGGCCACCTGTTAAATGCTCCAAAAACCAGCTTCACTTCCAATGTGACCAAACAGAAAACATGGTATCTTCTAGGTGAAGCTAAGCTGCATTGCAGAGTGTAGCAATGAGTACATCTTTATTGTCTTTTCTGAGGATGTCTTGTTTTGTTTTTTTTTTACTGCTAATGTCCCTGTCTGCAGGCTAAATTTAACTCTGTTCCTTCCTACTCTGCTTCTGTGATTATTCTTCACACACTGCAACACTGATGGCCTCAACTCCACAGGGAGGGGCCAACGGGGAAGTGTGTCATCCAGCTAGTCGAGTCCTCAGAGGGCCAAGTCATCCTACGGTCTAGGGACTGAACAACAGAGGATTTCTACACTAATTTGATTAGGATTTTACTGATACACTCGTCTGTTCTTTTTATTCCTTTGATAAGCCATTAGATGAAGATTTCTTCTCCTTTGGCTACATTAAACTGTAGATTAATAAACAGCTTAGCCATGGTCGTGTGGGTAATATGTCACACACCATGTTTAAAGAAACAACTATTGATCAAAATGTAAGCAAACCCCAAGCTGACCCATAACTTTGTGATGTTAATAAATCTTATCATTTATTGCTTTTTTAACACAAGTAAAACATCGTCATAAAGTTAATATGGTGAATATGTTAGCAAACAATTGTTTTTTAGAAATCAGTCATTCACATGGAGATATTTGTTTATCCACCAGATGAATTGAAATTAAAAAAAAAAAAAAAAAAAAAAAGCAATATTATCTCTCCTGTTAGATCACATTTGCTCTCCACTAACACCTGAGGGAAATATCTGACTCTTGAGCTGCTAAATCTTCCTTAAGTTTAACAGCTAGTCCCTAACCTCATCTATCTGTCATTCGGTGCCTGAGAAGGTACAGCATAGTGAGTTAATTAGATATTAGTTAGACACCAGGAGAGCAAAGAGAAAACCGAAACAATGAGCTGAAAGAGGCCTGAAACACTCAGGAAAGCTGCAGAGTGACAACTTTCACGTTAGACGTAGTCATTTGATCCAAAGTCAATATGAAAGTATTGATTATAGCCGCTTCATGTTAAGTTACATTATTTGTAAGTACTTTTAATATTGCACATATTTAATTATTGGATATTCAAAGAAACAAGAAATACACATGAAAAAAAAGGTTCTGATTATTACTGTTTTTCAAGTCCATGTTTTTAGTCTGTTTTTAAACCAAAAAACATTAAAACTATGATGATTAGGGCTGGGCGATACAGCTACAAGATCCATCAGGATAAAATGTTTAATATCAGGAGATATTACCAACAACTGTTAATATTTCTAATGACCTACTTTTAAAAAAGTCCATAAGAACAAAGTTTTATTTTGAAATTAGCCACCTTTCTTTGAATCTAACCATTTACATCTTGTGCACACTAACATCAACTCCCCTCGGCACACGGAGCAGGCCATCAGGAGTGCGACGCTTGAGTGGTGGTAGAAGACTCAAGGTTCTTGGTGTTTATAGAAACCCATCTCGCAAGAAAAAAACAGTAGTTCCTACTGGCTGCAGCCTCCACCACATTTTGCCCAGGCGGCAGTGACTAGCGCACCTTGGAAGACTTGTGCAACAGCAATGGCGAGAGCAACAGAGAGTGTAGGGGCTCTGTTATAAGCTGTTAATGAGCTGTGGGGGGGGGGAGCACCCTTAGCTCATGCAACTCAACTTTGCATTTTTGTTTTCATGGCAGTTTGCATATAAGTGACACTGTTGAACATCCTACAGAACGATTTTCTGATAGCTACTGATGAAATGTCTCTTGCCAGTACGTATCTCCAAAGCCTAGTCACAACATATGGTTTTGTTGTGGTTATATTCTTGCTACTATGATGCTTGAGCTAAGCAAGCTGTAACATAATAGACTGACAGCACGCATGAATATTAGTTCAAGATATGATGTTGACAAGTGAGTCAAAAGGTGCGGAAGACCCTGCAGCCACCCAAAATGACACTGAGCTTCTCCACAGTTCATGTTTTTCTTACTTTTGTACATAACTGCTCTACAAAAGGGGAGCAAAAGCACCAGAGAGATAGTGTCGTCCTGTGCTTGCAGACTGACCAGATAGCGTCACAGATTTCATAAAGTCTTGCATTGGGTGTATTTTTAGAATTTCTGTATAATGAAGACAAACTATGTATACATATATACGTGTGTGTGTTTTTCAGTAAAATGAGTATTGCTGAGGAGAAACCAAATGCTGCACCGAAGGCAGACTGAACACTACAGTGACTCACTATCACCTCCTGAGGATCAAAGTGAAATTATGTTTTCGGACTAAAATACTTACATACACCACCTTTGACGTTAATATATAGATATCAGCTATAATATCATGATAATAATAGTACACCAATAACTTGCCTACCCTCCTTACAACACAGACACATACACTGGCACACTGCTGACAAGTACTTTATTACAAAGGCTAGTCATCCAGTCGTGTGCAAATGGTTCATGTCCGCATAAAAAAAAAAAGCCACACATCCTACTTAGTAAATACCAGCCTGTTTATCTTTAGACAGGTCAGACCGCAATGAACAACGTGAAAACTGTGCGTGGTAAAGTTGTTACCTCATGCAAGCAGTGTAGCAGGTGTTCACTTTTGAACAAGTTTCAAGTATCAGCAAGTTATTTTTTAACATCTAATGAAACAACAAGCAAGACTTTTCTGCCACATGAGCGGTTCTGTGAAATACCTATTGTTGGTTTAAACTTGCGCATACATGTTTATACTGATCTGAATAGCTGCATTTAAAGTCAAGGTGAAAAGCTAGCTGTTGTAGAAAGTGGAGACAATAATAAATCAAAAGGGGAAAATAATTTGTAGAAAGCATCTTCTGGTAGGCATGTTAAAGCATATTGACTCCTTTAGGCACAGCGCTGATCTGAGCTACATGCTAAAGATGCTAATGTGCTCATAATGGCAATGCTACCATGTTATTGTTTAGCAGGTATAATGTTTACTACAGTCAATATCTTAGTTTAGCATGTTAGCATCCTAACGGGAAAGCCTTTACTTTTAATATACCAAAGTACTGAACAATCTGGAAGTTTGACCGGATGATGGCATTAAATTAACAATTACAGGATCACCAGAGTTAATACAGCTCATCCTGTGGGGATCATAAAAATCTGCACAAAAATTTCATAGCAACCCATTTGATAGATATCAGTAAATTCCAAGAAATCAACAGACTGGCATCTACCATCCCTAAAGCCATGATGCTAGCACAGCTGAAAATGTCAGTTACCTGGACAGCAGGAAAACCACAACTCAAAAATCTACTGCGTGCCTTACCTTTTTTTTTTTTTTTCTTTTTTTTTTTACAGCAATGTGAAGTTTACATGATTTGTAATAAATTGGTTAAAACTATAAAACACTGCTCGGAAATTGTGCAAAATCAAATGCAGCGAGCACATGCTAATGCCAAAAATCTGCTTTTATTTTCAGAAAGAAGATTCTGCACAACAGCAGAATATATTATTCAGGAGGCTAAAACACCTTTCCCTCAAAGCAAAAAGACCAAAAAAAAAACAACAACAAAACTGCAAGCTCCAGCAATTTGGAAATCCAGCAGCCAAATATCCAATTTCAAAAAGTGTTCGATTAACTGTGCGGTCGTAATTCAATGTCAGCAAGTTACGCATGCACAGTGCTCTCTGAAACACAATGCAATAAATCATACCATGGCTACATCAATATCAAAGTCAAGATCGGGCATACTGTATGTCAAATTGATCAATCACAAGACTGCGAAGAACTGTGAAGAGTGCACACGGGCTGATGGCAATCAAAAAGTGAAAGAGGTGAAGGAATGAGTGAAACAAAAGCGCTGCTGGAGGGTGAGGTGAGGTGAAGGAGGAAGACAAAGGAAAACAGAGAGAGGTGAAGCGGCTACGATACGATGGAAATGCTACAGAGACGTGGGGAAGACAGGAGGAACAGACAGAGAGAAGAAGAATCTCACTGTGTCGGGAGTCTTTTGTACTTACTCAGTTAATGTGGTGATGGTGCTGCCAGTCCCTCCCTCTCTATATACTACATGCTGTATGCAGACAGACTGCACTGTGTCCCATCCCCTAACCAGGGACAACCTGCACTGGAGCAGACACCGGCTACACCTTCTTTTCTATTCTTACCCCACCTCATCACATCACAACACCAACAACCAACGCAGCTTTTGCGTCACTTGATCAAACCACCTCTTTAAATTTACATCACATTCTCACTTATTTCCATTAAAGTCCAATTCAGCATGCGCCGGCAGAGAAGGAACTGCTGTTATTATCATGCACTCCCTCAAGATTTCTCCTGTTTCAGATCCTCATGGCCTACATATAACACATACATCCATACTGCTTATTGTATCCTGCTGCAGAAATGAGTCATACTCCACTGCTCCTCCATAGACACCCCACCCCTATCACAGGCAAGAAACTATCTGCTCTGTTTGTGAAATTTACTCCTTCTGCATAAAACACTTTGTCATATCACCAATGGGAGCGGGAGGAGGCGGGGTGCCTGTTGTGCGTTCAGAGAGGAGGTAATGATTGAAAAGAAACTAAAGGTGCTCGTGTGAACGCTGAACCCACACATCACATCGCCCGGGGCCTTCAAAATGAGCATCATGAATATTTTAAACCGTGCAATATTCTCTGGGAATCTGGAGATTGTCATTAAGCCCCCCGATCAGGATAACTAATGTCCCCTCCTGAAGAAGATGTCTGCTCAGCCCTTTTTTTTTTCTCTTCTTCTCACTAACGCCTCGCAGTTACTCTGCTCCACATTCCCTCATGCTAATGGTGCTGTGCATGAAATCGAGGTTTTTTTTTTTTTTTATGATGTCTGAACCTCATGTTTGCAGATCGCTCATTGCTCAAGAAAGGAACATCATGCCTCGAGTCCTTAAAATCTTATAAGTGAATTTTAATGTTTTACTTTAATGAAATTGTTAATGAAGTGTTTCAACTACTTTGCCAAATATTTGCCGGTTCTAGCTTCTCAAATGTGAGAATATGCTGCTTGTTTGTATCATATTACATGAAAGCAAGTGCAATGTGTTTTTTGGGCGTTTTAAACTGTTAATTAGATAAAACCAGTAATCTAAGGATGTCATTTTGTGCTTGGGAAACGCATGACGGGCGCTTTCCACTTCTGTTTGACATCTTATAGACTTAACATTTAATCTATTAATTAAGGAAACAATCAGCAAAAAATAGCCATGGAAATAATCATTAGTTACCGTGAATTCTTGCACTGTTAAAGTGTTATTCCCCTGACACAGTTTAAAGTATGCATCAGTTTGAAATGATGGCTAGTGTTTATTTACAAAAGAAATTCCTTTTTTAATATACACTGCACTGAATATATCAAATATGAATACAACCCATGAAACTACCTCAATGGAATGACAAATAATTGTGAAAAATGTCTTTTGAATATTCCCAGAGCCTAAGTGGACATATTCGATTATTGCAACACCTAAAAACCTAAAAATTCAGTTTATTGTCACATAAGACAAAACATATCTGCATATCCCTACAATTAAAAAGCCACATAAGGGAAATATTTGGCATTTCTGCTTGAGAAATGACTCAAATGATGAATTGTTGAAACAGTTGTTGATTATCTTTCTGTCAAATGACTAATCGACTAATAGTTTCAGCTGTGCTTTGACATTTCAATTGGATTACTATTTGTTATGAAACACATCTGATTTAATAACCTGAAAAGGAATCAAAATCAGCATGCACTGCATTGTCACTCACAAATTGCCAGCATTCCCAGGTTGGGACTTGAATGGTATGTTATGTTTGAGCACATAGATTTAGAGCTAAACCAATTAGACAACGACTTAATCATCAAAAGATATGCTACTGCTACAGCTGAGCTTAAGTACAGCTTTGAGATAATTGTATATTTTAATATGTAATACTTCAAGTTTCTGCTACTTAAGACTAATATTTTCCTTTGCACTCCATTATTTATTTATTTATTGATATTTGATAGTTACAAGTTTGTGGATTCAGATGAAGAATATGAAACATAATCAAGTATATTATCATAGAGTATTAAAAAACGACTTCAACATTGAATCCACTGTCAAAATAGTTGTTGATTAGTTTCCTAACAGACTCTTTCATATTGCTAGTGTTGTATGTGACTGGTGTGTGTGTTGTTTAAAGTTTCAATGAACTGCCAGATGGGCCAAAGACAATTTCCCACCCTAGTATCTCTTTGTATCCACGCTGTACTCTTTCCTAATCATTTCAGCTCCAGATTAATTAATCATGTCTAAAAGGATACTGGAGAAATACTCTACAGAAGCCTGCAGGAATAAAGAGAGCCCTGTCGTGTCTGTCATTAGTACACCAATCTTCTTTTAGAAGCAGATATTTGAATCCTTCCCAGCTCCTGACTTGCCCTCTTTGATGCATCGAGACTCATGAACCTCGGGGATCTGGCGGTTTGGGATGAGCTCTGTATGCACAGTCCATCTGTAGCCGGGTGAAACCTCTTGACACCTCACAACATGATTTCTGCAGGGATCAGGTTCTCCCTTCTGCTGGACTGAAACTACAACCACACTGACGCCCACATCAAACCCAACGCCTCTTCACAAACAACACATGGAGGTAAATTACAAATGTCTTGAATATTCTCCATCAAATCAGATGAGAGGAGCATGATTCACAAGAGCCGCACGGTAACAGATGAGGCAAATCATCCCTTTTGCTTTTTTGTCGGTCACAGAGATCGTCTTAAATAACACCCAAATCTCCATCTGAGTCTTCTGCACATGCCTGACCTGAAAACATTAATTAAAAAACTGGGCTGTGTTGGGATTTTGGTGTAACACACTGTGCACTTTCAAGCATTTTGCTGCCCTCTCCTGGGCAAAACAACATCTGTATCTGGAGGAGGCAGCGCTGTGGATGAAGATGCAGAGCAGAAACTCTCATGGATTTGATATAGGGATAATAAATACAGAACTATAAATGTATTTTGACTACCTCCTCTACCAACTTCAAACTGAAAAAAATATGCGCTGTAGGTGCTGCACGACCAAACACTGCAGAGACACTGTGTTCTGATGAAGAACTTCAGGCCCTTATAGCTGTATTCAGACTCCAGCGCACAACATGACCTACATTTTCTATAGATGCTACAGTTATTCAATCCCACTGACAATCAGCGTGCGATAATGGGATGCTGATGCATAAATAGATCTTTTACCTGCCGTTTGATGAAGCTGGATGTTGTGTCAGAAGACGTGCTGCCATCTGAGCGTTTGAAGCGGCTCTTGCGTTTAGGCAACTTTCTGGGCAACTGTGAAGGGAACAGACAAGATAAATAGATAGTACAAATGCTGTTTGAATGCTTTTCTTTGTGATTTCAACAAAATGCAAGCCTACATCTAGCGAGACTGGGTGTACAGGAGCTGCTGTGCACCAGAGCAGTAAATATAATCAGCTGTAACTTTGCCAAAATCACACTCATCTTAGGGCTGCATTCATCGAGCTGTACACAATGGTTTGACTTGATACAAAAAGGCCCCCTCCTCTGTGACTGAGTGCATTACGAAGAGGCGTTTCAGAATCAGGCTACAGGTGACTCTGAGTCATGGCCTACACATTTGCACCAGTAAAAACCTGCATGCAAGTCCCATGGTTGTTACTGGTGTGTGCTGGTTCCTCCTGCACTGGTGTGGATGCAGGAAAATGCATTGAAATAAATAATGAAAAATGAATACAAAAAAAAAGGCCTGAAAATTAAAAGCACCATCTAAGGAGACCTGTGTTTAAAAGCCTTATTGTGTGAGCCTACTTTGTGATCCTCTGGCTCCGGCATCAATCTGCGGCTTCAGCGAAGGCGGAGGTGGAAAAAAATAAAGTAGCTCGCTGCCAAAAACGCGACGCCTCAGATTGAACAACAAGTAGCATCTGATGGCTTTTAGCTAGCCGTCTTCAAACACCGACACTTTGCTTGGCGAGGGCAGGAGTTAGGCGTGAGAGTGAAAGTGGGTGGATTTACCTGGAAATAGTGCGACTGGGAGCCGGTTTCCACAGCAGACAGAGGGTCTACGGGCGATTTGGACATTTTGACTTGCACCATCTATTGAGAGCGCAGGGAGGCGGGATGCACACAGACATGGAAACAAGAGGCTCCAGATACATCTATATGCGGGTAACACGGCGAGGAAACGGCGGCATGCGGAGCGAAAAAACACCCACATTAATGTCCAAACTCAGCCGAGAAGAAAGATAGCTCACACTCCCAGGTTTAAATAATAACTAAAAAAGGGAAATGTGAGGGGGGAGAAAACGTAAAAAAGCGAGCCGGAAAATTACCGGAGCTGAAATAAACCGTTAACGCCGGAGCGTCGTCGCTCTCAAACAGAACGAACAGGTCCGTACTAAGTGTGAGGCTCCGCCGGGGGTGTCAGGGTTCACTTCACTCACCCCCAAATCTGTTCACGCCGGCTCACAGTCACAACACAGACACCTTTCCTCATTTATGAGTGTGCTGCTTTGTCCAGACACCGTGTCCAGTCTTGTCTGTGTCATATTTCTCTATTCAAGAAATATAAAAAAAAACTGAAACCACAGTCAAATAAACGTGGACCCTTCAAAGAGGGCACCTCTGAAGTCACAGCTGATCAAAAATGTGGCTTTAGTGAAACATTTTCTGCATTTTTTTCATGTTTTCAGTCAAACACATTTTCATTGGTTTGTAATACCAGCAGTAGAACAGGTATCAGGAGAGCCTCAAGGAATTTGGGGGATTTTTAACCCTATTCAGGACTTTTGGGGTCTTTTGGACCCCAGGCCATTTGGTTTAGGTGACAGGTATTGTTTTTTTAATTTTTGAAGATTTTTTAAAATTTATTTTTAGATATAAAAAGAGGGACATTTATCATGCATTTGGAACCAAAAATACACCAACTTATCAGAAAATTTATTGAACATAGTATAAAAGTCTATAATGAACACCAACAAATATTTTGCACATATTCTTTCTTCGGGTCCAATGGACCCCGAAAGACCTTCCACGTAAGGCAACATGAAAGTCCTGAATTGTGTTTAAGAACTCTGCCTGCTTGCTTAGTACTACTGGAAGAACCTGTAATAACTCAAAGGGGTTCCTGGATGATCCTTTTGTAGGCCTGAATGACATTTTACCACTGCATTTGTACTTTGTTTCATTTATTTTAGCATTTAAAACTTCACTGTCAACAGCAACAATCTAAAAAAAAACTTTTCTCCTTGTTTTTTTAAAGGAGCCATTTGTGTACAATTTGGTTCATCTTTATACGTGAGTTTATTGCAGCAGTAACCAGAAGAACCTGTAGAGGTGTTCTTAATATTCAAACGAAGTTGGGCACCAGACAGAGTAATAAAGGCTCTTTTCTACCTGTCACTTTAAAATATATTTTCCTAAACTGATTAAAACAGGGGTCTGCAAGGTGGCTCGGCGGTTAGCACCATTGCCTTGCAGCAAGAAGGTCGCCGGTTCGCTTCCTGGTGAGGACACCCGGGATCTTTCTGTGTGGAGTTTGCATGTTCTCCTCATGCAGCGTAGGTTCTCTCTGGGTTCTCCCTCTCACTAGGTCCAAAAACATGTTGAGGTTAATTGGTGATTCTAAATTGTCTGTAGTTGTGAATGCGAGTGTGATTGGTTGTCTGTCTCTAAGTGTAGCCCTGTGATAGACTGGTGACCTGTCCAGGGTGTCCCCTGCCTTCACCCTGAGTCAGCTGGGATAGGCTCCAGCCCCCCTGCGACCCTAGTGAGAATTAAGCGGTGTATAGATAATAGATAGATAATAACGATAATGGATAATTAAAACGGATTGCTTGGATAGCTTAACTCCCTTGCTATGAAACCTTGCAAAACAAAAGAGAAAGATAGCCATCATACTAATTTCAATATTTCTACCAGGGTAAATGCTACTCAAATCACAAGCAAATGCAAACATTTCCTATAGACAAAGGCCCATTAAACCAACAGAATCCAAATTCAAAATGAGAAAGAGGAAAAAATTCATTCTAATGCATCCTAATAAGGAAAATGAATAGTCCCCAAATTCAGACTAAACCTTTAGTTCTAGAAATGCCAATTTCAGTTTATTTCACTCATTTCAGGTTTGAGAGGTGTGGGGGATTTTGTAAAATATAGGAGTGTTGATGAGGGGCTATTATGAGGGACAATGCACTCTAAACTAATGCAAGAGTAAAGATGAGAAGCCTGCAGATTTCAATCGGAGAAAAAAAAAAAGTAGATTTATCTCAACCATTGTCCAACAAAGATACAGACGTATAAACATCTGTCCAAGAAAGCAGAAGAAGTGGTGGAATGAACTATATCCAATCCTGCTCCTGAGATCAGCTCATATTCAGCAGTTTCTTACAGCCCATATGGATCAGTTTCTACCCAAAGCTTGACAGAGCTCCTCTGGTAATCTCCAACTTCTGACTGCAAGTGTTTCTTTGGAGTTGGTTCAGGTCAGGATGTGTCCAACACCATCCAGGTTGTTGTCAATACCGTTTTCGATCAATGATTGTCAGTCTAAATGTGGTCCTCCAGCACATAGTGTGGCCCTCTGGACTGTCACAGTGCCCAACAGCCGACCCTCTGCCCTTCCAATGAAGGCAATATAACCTTCCGGTGTGTTTCCTTTGTGAAGTAGGATAAGTTCAGTTTTAACACGTATAACACAAGACACGTATGTCTAGGTCAAAAATGGGTTGAATTTGCTTCAAAAGCAAGTAGATGTCTAGATCACATGTAACTATTGTTTTAACATCATTTCAACTGCAATACTTTTAAATCTGGATGTGAAAATGTAAGCATAATTGTTGAACCTACCATAAAATCAATAAAGTGAACTTATCCTACCCAGTTAATCAGTAGATTTGTAGGTGGTACACGCACTAGAAGATTATATCACCGATATTTAAAGGGCAGAGGTAGGATTGTTAGGTGCTATGACTGTCCAAAGGCCCACATGATTTAGTTCATCATGGGACACACAATAAGACAGGACTATAATTAACATGTAGATATAAATAAATGGCCTCAAGGTGTTTTTAGATTTAAAAAAAGAAGTGTTGTGTAATAGACTTGTGCCTCTGACAAAAAGTAATTCAAATTATTTTAGTACAATATGTAGAATCAGTTGTGCGTGTTAAGTAAATACAGTTTGTGTGATATTTGAATGTATCAGACAAATAGTATTAAGTAAATGTCTTGAACTAAAAGAGCTCTGTGGTTAGCTGAGTATAGCCTATATGAGAGTATGACATAACCTCAGTGTTGAATTCAGGTCGAGCACTCAGTGTGGTTAAAGCATAGACTGCATTGGGTTCAATGAGTTTTATCTGAGGTGTCTACTTCTTATGTCTGTTCAGTGCCGGTCAACGTTGCACCACAAGTGCACCCTGCTTCCTGACTGGAGGTTGTTTTTTTTTTGTGTCCTGCATATATAATCACAATGAGAGGCTCATGTGATGGTCCTTGATCACACCAGACTGTAGGTAGGAGTATGATGCTTTATCTTTATACAACAACCTGTTGGTTTTTGTCTTAAGTGGGAGAGGTGTTATGGCCCCGGCCAACGCTTACCCCATGTGTTTCGAGGCAGATTGGGCTGCGCAGTCCTGTGACTAGGATTGTCCCTGAGACCCAAGAACCACCCACCCTGTTTCCTGTTTTTCTGACTAGAGAGGCACCTGGTTCATCTGGTTCACCAATCAGCAACCTCAGCTTGTTGCTGCCACCTTATTGTAAGGCAGATCAAACGTTATTTAGAGTGGTTGTGGTTGGATTTGAGCAGGCTGTTATGGTGCTATTTGTCCTTATTGTTGGTGTTAACTTTTGGTTAAGTTCGTACTGTACTGATTCTGTTTGTGTGTACTAGCAGTGAACCTGGTCTGTGTTACTGAGGCAGTGGGCTGCGATTATCCATAACTCACTACACTCTGCGTCACAGTAGGTTATTTTCTATAGACACACCAAAGTTCTTATAGGCAAGTCTTGCCATTCTGCAGCCATCTTGGTAATGGACCTGGGCAGTTATTTTGGGCTAGCAAGATCAGGCTCCATCTCAATGAATAGGAGAAGAGCTACTAATGCATTTTCAAAAACTGTATGTATAGAATCACCAGTTAAATCTGCTAAAAACTGCTAAAAACTTTTGTGACTTTCACCAATATAAGGTTTAAAAAGTGTCTTTCCCAACAGATTATACCTCTGCTACGCATGTGCACAAGTTTGCGACATCATGTTTCAGTGGATGTAGGAACCGCAACATCACCCAAACCTCAAGTTTGGCATTTGGTTGTTGCCATCTTTTGAAACCACACCTAACAAGACTATGCACAGCAATATAGTAGAGATCTGTCAGTCAAAAGGTAGCCACGCTCTCAAATATACCCTCTTTGTCATTTATTTTCCTCTAAATGGAACCATAATTTACAAAATGCACATCATTCTGTATTGAAGAAGTGCAACTGAGACAATAAACTCATTAGGAAAATTTACCACTTTAAGGGAAAAGTAGGGTTACTTCGTATTTTTTATACAATCAAACTCACCCTACGATTACAGTTTAAGTATGGAGTATAGCCATGTTCTGAGATTTTATATTTCTTTATATTTTGTAGGTTAGTATGACCTTGGTGCCATCTTGAATTTTATTTGGTTTTATTTTGGTTATTGACTTAGCAACACCCACCAGCCCCATCTCCTTTTCAGTCTTGCTTTCTTTGTTTGTTAATAGGGCTGCAAGGTGGCTTTGTGGTTAGCACCGTTACCTTGCAGCTAGAAGATCGCAGGTTTGCATCTCGGTCAGGACACCCGGGATCTTATTGCGTGGAGTTTGCATGTTCTCCCCTGTGCAGCATGGGTTCTCTCTGGGTTCTCCAACTTCCTCCCACAGTCCAAAAACATGTTGAGGTTAATTAGTGATTCTAAATTGTCCGTAGGTGTGAATGTGAGTTGTCTGTCTCTAAGTGTTGCCCTTTGATAGACTGGTGACCTGTCCAGGGTGTCCCCTGCCTTCGCCCTAAGTCAGCTGAGATAGACTCCAGCCTCCAGCTCTCTTTATTCACTACTAC